GATTATGAATGGGGTGTAACCTTCACGGGTCAATCGTTGTTGCCTTCGTTGTCCCTTATTCGTGGTTGCCTTAAATAACCCGTGAACGATTTACAAGTTCCTTAAAAACTTGTTGGAGGCTCCCTACTTTCCTTGTCCCTAATCATATTATGTCAATTCCCACTTCCTATGAGTGACAATCATATTCACAACATGTTTAACGTAGGCGCACTTCGAACAGTACAATTACGGTGCGCAGGTCGTATTTAGTAATCTACTGGGCCATGCTAGTCATTCAATAGCAAAATAATATCATATATTATAAAATTTTCACATAATAAATCACTCATCGTGCTTTCCTAAACTACAACATCAAATGTTCACAATTAAGGAAATATGGCATCTAAATATCTCATATTTTAATTACTGCAATAAGATAATATCATATATAATTCATGACCATTAAAATATCGTATATTTTAAATTAATCATGAGATATAATCAAATCTTTTTTTGATCTTACAAGATAAATCATATTTATCCTCAAAGATTATCCTAACAAACTTAGGAGATTCTATCCTAATTACTAGCCAATCACAAAATTTTAAATCAATTATATCCAAAATTAATTATGAGATAATCACATTATATAAATCAATCTTTATCTTTTTGGAATCTTGCTCAACAATCCTTAAAATATTTTAAAGATTAAAACAAATTTTAAGATTTGAAATTATCTTAACAAATTTTATCCAAAATTAACAACTTTAATTAAGGATAATTATCAAAAATCAACATTTAAAATTTGATTTTATCCCCAAAATAAAATATTTTGAAAATATTTTAAATCAAAATAATTTTAATAAAAACAATACAATTTTTTTTATTTTAATAAAACAGCAACTGCCACGTCAACAAGGGAAAAACCCAGCCAACGCAATAGTTCGCACTTCGCAGGTAAGCAATTTCATCCCACTCGCAAAGACCGGCAGCAAAAGACCCACCAACTAGACGCCTGAACATGGTCAGACCGGAGACAGATCCCTACTAATTGAATTAAAATTGTGGACTATCAAATAATTAATATTAAATATATGTACATGCATAAGCTAGCTGATACCACTGTAGGATTTTATAGGTACGAATTGCGGAAACATGAATCACATTCAAAAAGCACCTAATCCCAAGATCATGCATAACACATAAAAAATTAGAATTAATACCTTTGAAGCATGATTCTACGTATGATCAAGTAATAACAATAAGGAGAATAAGAACCCCACGTGTGATTCCTCTACTAAGTCCACGAGTACGAATCAAACCTCCACTAATGCTAGTTAGTTGTGATCGAACACTTTAATCAACCTTTGACGGAGATGTGAGTCATGAGCACACCACGAACCACCCACGATACCACCACACACGCCACCAAAGGAGGAGGGTCGTACGGACAGGGAGAAGAGAGAGAGGGTCGAATGGAGAGAGAGAGAATTATGGTTTTGGTCTTGGTTGCTTGATTTACAATTAACTGTTAATTGTTATATCAAACAACCCTAGGCATGGATTATATTTATAGATCACATCTCTTAATAAATCCATGTCAAGCCCAAAACACATTAAGCTCTTCTAACTATTCTAGCCCAACAATCAATGTAGCATGTCATAAACTCATGAGGCCCAATAATGGGACTCTAACTTGTTTGACCCAAAACTCTTGTGTGTGACCTCATAAGATCCATTCTATAAGTCTTTGGGCTACTCAACTAGCCCAAATATCAATTGTCATATCTAGCACCAAACATTGACAACCCTATAGAATGAACTAATTATCTCCATAATTGTGATCCTTGATAAATTTAGTAATTGCACTTATCGAAGACAGAACTCCTTCACTCCTTATTATGATGTGCAAAGCTTGCCTCCAGTTTATCTTCCAAATTCTCGATAGTCTTCTGAAACTCCACCTTCTTTTCCCTAAGACTCTTCTCAAGTCCCTATACTCCTCTCTCCAGCTTTTGAATCTTCCTTGTAGCCTCTTTTAATTGCCTCTCTGCAACTTCAGCTCTATTAGATAACTCAGCAGTCTGTCCTGCCATCATTTTCTCTTCTTCCTCATCCAGTTCCAGAGATTGTTCCACGCTTGTCTATGGAAAAGCACTGGCATAAAGCCTCCTACTCTTTCGTACAAGTTCCTCTGGAACTGCCTTCCCCTTCTTGTTCCCACTGGTCTTTTCTTTCTTTTCCTCAACCCTTTTATTTTTTCTATATACCACTTCCAAACTAATTCCAAGTAGAGTCTCATCATTTATCACATTCTCTAGCTTCTCATCTATTTCTCCATAGTTCCCCTTTAGAATCACCCCAAGTGATTCAAACACGGTAGATAAGATAGCTCCATAACCTACTTTATTCTTGCCAGGAACACAATGAGCAAGAAGTTGATACATAAGGGAGGGAAATTTGATTTTAATCTTCTTTCTCAAACAAAAAATGACAGCGTCATGTCCATTAGACATGCTTCACTCTTTTTCTGGGTTCGAGGCAGTATAGTTTTCTTGACCAAATTAAACAATAATTTGTTCATGGGGCTCAAGTCATTGTGACTCTTAGTGTTCTTCCCCCTTTTTCCTCCCAAAGATTCAACTATATCACCACCCAGATAATTTCCCACCTTTATGCTTAATTTTCCCTAAACATAAGTCTCATATCCCTCAGTTGGAGCTTTCAGAATTTTACCTAGAGTTTTCACATCAAATTCAATTTTTATATCATTAACCTCACTCTAAATTATTACCCCTTGTTTCACTTGAATTTTTTACAGAATTCCTTCATGGTAATTGGGTATATGAAATTGTTTGAAGCTCTAGACAACAAGAACTCCTAGCCCTGGAACTTAATTAAATAAAAAAATTCCATAAATCCAGCCTTCCTACACCAAGTTAAATTAATTTTATGACCAACTACATACCTTCCTCCTTGAGCTTCAAGCTTTGATTGATCAGCCTTAATTTCCTCCTCCATTGGATCGTCTTCCCCCTTTGATTCCACAGTTCCAGCCACAAAGTCCTCAACCTTTTTGATGTGTTCCTCTGCTAATTTTCCTTTGTCCTTATTTTCTTTCCACTCTCTCAATCTTTGAAGGATGTCAGAGGTTTCCACTTCCTCAACATTCGAAGTCTTCTCTCTAGGGTTTTTGTTTGAAGTGGAAGAAGGGTTGTGCAGTTTCATCTTGGGCTTTCTCTTGTTCTTTGTAGGATACCATGATCAAGAGTGACATAATTTCGGGTTCTGATTTTGGCTCGTTTTGGGAGTTTTCGGAAGAGCTAATTAAAGTGATAATGGCCATAAATTTGAAATTTGGAAGTTTTGAGAAGTTTTTCACATAGGGTAAATGCGATTTGATAGTGGTGATGTAAGGTGGGTGAAGATTTCTTTTATGTTAATTGAAGCGGTGTGAGAGAAATAAAAGGTTTTGTGCCATTTAGTCATTTATTGAACAAGTTCAATTGATTTAAAAATTTAAACAGATTTTTTTACCAAAAATTCTTTTATTTTAAAATTCAATTTATTTCCAAAAAAATTAACTACCAAAAATAAAAACATGTATTTGGAACACACTTTCTACACATATGCAATGTGCATAACTATTTACACACACAATAGAGTGTTTGTGAACTAACCTCTAGGAATTCACCAACGATGACACTTCAGTTATGTTTAGCACACCACAATTGTGTTAGATGCTCTTTTTGCTTTGTTTACATTATTTTTTATTTTGCCATATCTTGGAACTTCAGAAGCAATCAAGTCATCTTGATCAGATCATCCCAATAAGTTCCAATCTCCATTTCTCAAATCTTTCTCTGTTCAAGGGCTTGCTTAGAATATCTGCAATTCGATTTTCAGTAGGACAAAATTCTAACTTAATGTATCTTTGCTCCACATTATATTTTAGAAAGTGATGCCTAATGTGGATATGTTTGACTTTTGAATGTTGAACTGGATATTTAAAAATACATATATCACTAGTATTGTCACAATAAATAGGAACACATTCAAATAAAATACAAAGATCTCTAACTTGTTGCTTTATCTATAACATTTGAGAACAACATGCTCCTGCAGCTACATATTCAGCTTTGGCTGTAGACAAAGCTAATGTGTTCTGCTTCTTGGAACCCTAAGAAACCAAACAAGGTCATAAATTGTGCCATATCTAAGGTTCTTTTTCTATTAACCAAATCACCTGCATAGTCAGCGTCAGTAAAGCCATTTAAATTGAATGAATCACTTCTAGGATAGAAGAGACCTAAATCATCAGTTCCTTTCAAGTAACGAAGAATTCACTTTACTACTTATAGGTGAGACTCCTTTGGATTGGCTTGGAACCTGGTGCATAAACCTACACTAAAAAAATTTTCAGGTCTACTAGCTGTTAAATAAAGTAGAGATCCAACCATACCTCGATACATAGTTTGATCAATGCAAGTTCCAGATGGACCTTTATCCAATCTTGTAGCTATACCCATAGGAGTTCTATTTGGTTTTGCATTATCAAGCTTTTATTTCTTAACAGTTCCTTAATGAACTTTTGTTGATGGATCCTAATACCTTCCTTAGTTTTCTTAATTTGCAAACCAAGAAAGAATTTTAACACTCCCATCATGCTCATCATAACTTATCCACTCATAAGGTCAGCAAAGTACTTGCACAAAGAATCGTTAGTTTCACCAAAAATTATATCATCAATATAAATTTGTACAACTGAAATATAATTTCCATTTGATTTTAAAAACAATGTTTTATCAATTTTACCACGTTTAAAAGCATTTTCCAAAAGGAACTTAGATAGTCTTTTATACCATGCTTTGGGAGCTTGCTTAACTCCATAAAGGGCTTTTTCAAACTTGTAAACATGTTTTGGAAACTCTGGATTGTCATATCCAGAAGGTTGTTCCATATAGACGTCTTCTTTCAACAAACCATTTAGAAATGCACATTTTACGTCCATTTGATACAACCTAAATTCCATATAAGCAGCAAAAGCAATAAGTAAGATAATAGCCTCTAACCTGACTACTAGAGCAAATGTTTCTTCATAGTCTATTCCTTCCTGTTGATAAAAACCTTGGACATCCAATCTTGCTTTGTTCCTGACAATAATACCATGTTCATCTAGTTTGTTCCTGAATACCCATTTTAATCCAATTTTGTTTTGATCACTTATTGGTCTAGGTTCCAAATGCCAAACTTTATTTCTTTCAAATTCATTTAGCTTAGCTTGCATAGCATTAATACAGTCAGTTAAAGCTTCAACATGGTTCTTAGGTTCCATCAAGGAAAGGAATGCATAAAATGCACAAAAGTTCCTTACTTGAGATTTGGTTTAAGTTCATTTAGTGATATCGCTCATGATTGCATCAACTTGATGTGAAATCTAATTCTTCCAGGACTTTGGAGCAAAATCCTTGATTGGATACAGTTTTTCTTGATTGTTGTTGACTGGTACTTCTGTTGGAACGTCATCTTATGATTCAGCTTGTACTTCTTCTAGAACTTCCGGTTGCTCTTGAACTTGGTTTTGAGCTGGAGTTCCTTGTGCATCCTCTGTTGTTTTGTCAGCATTTGCTTTAGTGTTCTGCTCACCCTTATTTTTTACATGTTGCTTCTCCAATGATGTTGATTCTTCATCTTGACCATTCTTCCCTACAAGGCTACAAGTCTTATTTCAAAATCATCATCATCTTCTTGTATATTAGTCAAATGATCAATTTCATCAAAAATTACATGTACAAACTTCTCAACACACATTGTTCTCTTATTATAAACTCTATAAGATTTACTGTTTTAAGCATATCCTAGGAATACTGCCTCGTCACTACGTTCATCAAACTTTCCCAAATTTCTTTTACCATTGTTATGAACAAAACATCTATAACTAAAAGATCTAAAGTAATAAATATTAGGCTTTCTCCCTTTGATTAGTTCATAGGGAATTTTGTTAGTGATGGCTCTGACTGATACTCTATTTAGGATGTAACAAGCTGTATTCACTGCTTCTACCCAGAAGTTCCTAGGCAGACCACTTGAGATTAGCGTTGTCCTGACCATGTCCTCAAGGCTTCTGTTCTTGCGTTAAACTACTCCATTTTGTTGTGGAGTTCTTAGGGTAGAGAAGTTGTGATCCATTCCATGATCTGTGCAGAATTCATCAAATTTGGAGTTTTAATTTCAAATTCTGTTCCATGATTTTACCTTAGAGGCACCAAAGGATTACCATTTATTCTTTGTTCTTTCTTCACTAAAGCAACAAATCATCAAATATTTCATCTTTGCTAACAAGAAAGAACACCCAAGTGAACCTTGAGTAATCATTAACAATAACAATTAGATATCTCTTACCACTTCTACTTTAGATCCTAATTGGACCACAAAGATCCATATGGACAAGTTCCAAAGGTCTATTAGCGCTTACCATTTTCTTTGATTTGAAAGAAACTCGAGTCTGTTTGCCTCTGACACATGCATGACATACTTTATCATATAGAAACTTAATACAAGGAAGCCCTTCTACTAATTCCTTGGATCTAAGTTTGTCAAGCGAGGTAAAACTTGCATGACCAAATCTTTTATGCCACAAAAGAGAATCATCCTCAATAACACTAAGACATGTCAAACTACTGTGGGAACCTCGTTGAAATCCATAGTATATGTGTTCCCTTTACGATTTCCTTCTAATATAATGTTCCCTGCAGTGTCATTGTGGATGATTTTGTATTTATTAGAAGTAAAGCTAACAAAGTTACCTTTGTCACAAAATTGTGAAATATTTAACAATTTCTGTTGGAGACCCTCAACTAAAAATACATTATCAATAGCATGGGAAATTGACATTCCTACATTTTTAATAGCAATTATATCACCTTTCATATTATCACCAAAGGTCATAGTTCCACCATAGTAGGCATCCAGTGAGAGAAATATAGATTTATCTCCAGTCTCGTGCTTAGAACAACCACTATCAAGGTACCAAGTGTTGTTCCCCCTCACTGGAACCTACATGAAGAATCAAACGTTAGTGTCATGAACCCAGGTTTATTTGGGTTTTATGTAACAAATGTTGAATCAGATTTCCTAACCCAAATCTGTTTAACGTGATTTTTTTTCTGTAAAGTGCTCTTTTCTTTCTTAGGACATTTAGCTTGTTTATGTATTGTCTTTCCACAGAAATAACAGACAATACTACTGGTAGGTTAACATACTTATTTTCTTTCTTTAACTTCTTCTTATATCATAATCCTTCAGTTCTCGTGGTTTGGGCATTCACAATCCGTTCAAGTACATTGTACTAAATGGGTTGTTTACCCTTCCTAACTCTTTCAAGTTCCCCCTCAAGATTAGCTTTATCCATTTTTAATTCTTCTAAATCAGATTTTAATTTTTCAAAATTTGGATACTAATCACAAAGAGGAACTTCAGAGTTAGGAACTGCTTCACCAATTTTTAACAAAGACAGTTCCACATTCAAAAGAGTGTTATGTTTTAGTCTTTCAAGACTTTCTTTTAAATTTATATTATCATAAAAAAGACTAAAGAACCTATTTTAAATATCAAATTTCATATTTTCCATCCATTCACTGTGTTCTTTGTAAGTGTCAAGTGCCTTGTCACTTTGTGTTTTAGCTCTGTGAAGTTCCTTTAAATCTTCCTAAATATCTAACACATTATTTATCAAATTTTCTGTAAAGAAATATCTTATATCATTAGAAGAGTACCATACCTCATCCTCATATTCTTGTAATTTGACCTTTTCATCAGTCTTAGCCATAATACATAGATGAGCCATTTCTTCCGATGGTTGGTCTTTTTCTTCTTCTAAATCTGAGTCTCCCCATGCAGCCGTCATAGCCTTCTTCACGTTTTCTTTTGTGAAGTAGGGCTTATAGACTGTGAACTCCTTGCCTTGATCTTTCCTTTGAACTTACCTTTGTAATTCTCCTATAGAGGACAATCTCTAATGAAATGATCTTTTGAACTACACTTGAAACAGGTAGTGTCTTTCGAACTTGCAACCTTCTTGTTCCTAGCAAACTTCCTGTTGTTCATCATCTTCTTTAACCTTCTAACTAGCATTGTCATCTCTTCCTCATCAACTTCAAATTCATCAGTGTCTTTTGCTTAAAGAGAAAGACTCTTGTTCTTTGAACTTTCAGCATTGGAACTCAAGTGAAGTTCATGGGTCATCAATGATCCTGACAGCTGCTCCATGTTGAACTTTGTAAAGTCCTTGGATTCTTGCATTGCAGTAACCTTGGATCTCCATCGTTCATCTTGTGGTAAACTCCTCAAGATCTTTCTAGCCTGTTCATCTATAGGAATGTGCCTTCCAATGGAGCTCATTTCATTAATTATATCATTAAACCTAGTAAACATTTCCTCTATGTTTTCCTTAGATTGCATTTCAAACCTCTCATATCTTGACATTAATAAATCAATTTTGGAGCGTTTTACCTCGTTTGTACCTTCATGAGTAACTTCTAGTAAATCCCAAATCTGTTTAGCAGTCTTGTATCCCATGATTCGGTTATGTTCATAGGGTTCAAGACCACAGTGCAAATATTTGATAGATAAAGAATTTAACTCAAGTTTCTAATAGTCTTCTTTAACAAAATTAGAAATAAGTTTAGGAACTACCTCATATTCTCATTGGTTACAGTTACCTCAAAATCACCCGATTCAATTACACGACATACCTTGTAATTTTCAGTATTGATGAATATTTCCATCATGTTCTTCCAGTAGGTGTAAAACTTACCATTGAAAATAGGTGGACGTTGGGTAGAATACCTTTCTTCAACTTTCTCTTTGTAATTCATCTCTCCTCAGGAACTTACTCAGCAAAGTTATCTGCTTACACATGTGAACCAATGCTCTGATACCAATTGTTAGTTGAGACAAACATTACAAGAGGGGGTCGGGGCTGGATTGTATGTGAGTTCGTAGTGACTATTTTTGCATAATGTAAAAATAGAATATAAAGGAACTTGCAATGCACACAATATTTTACGAGGAAAGCTTCCAAGGCCCAACTAGAAGTAAAACCTCGACCCTTCTAAGGGATTTCCAAAACAAAACCAATTCACTATAATAGGGAAAACAAACAAGTTACAACCTATTATACTCAGACCTTTACTCACAAATTCCATACTGAACTTGCTACACAGTAGCACCCTATCTTAACCAAGTCCCTGACTTATATTCACTCATACTCCCTTAGTACTCTCTCACCCTGCTTCAACCTAGAAGCCTACACAACTGTATGCAAAGATCAGTTACACACACACCCCAAGAACCCAACCAATTCTGATTAATAACCCTTAGTATATGAGAGGTAAGCTATGCATGAACCCGACACTAATATGACAAAGTTATAAACTTGGCGAACTTACACAATTAAGCACACTTCGATTTCTTTACGCATAAACTCACAGAAAATAATGAAATGGGATTTCTACAATTTATACAAGACTTGCTCGTATAGAAAGTAGGGTTTTCAAAAGATAAATATGTTATTTTACCAAAATCCCAAAACATGGTTTTAATTAAATCTAAATTAAAATAAAATATTATTAGATAACTTATCAAAGATAAACTATCAAAAGAATAATATCTTTTTCATAATTCTGATTTTAAGTAAATCATTTTAGAAAATCTTTTCTTAAAATCTTATCTTTTGTAAACTTTCCTATTTTAAGCTTGCCAAGCTCATTTGTCACGTTTCTAATAAGTATCACGCGTAACCCTAACAATTATATTTATAGCAAATTTAAAAGATAAAATCCTAACAAAACTAATTTGCTCCGCCAATATTCTGTAGACTAGGATGCTTGGGCTTCACGCAGTCCAGGACCAAGTTCCTGTCACTTGCACTCCAGTTCTAAATTGGAACTTCGCAGGCCAAGTTCTAATAGAACTTGTTGTCTTCAACACAAACCAAGTCAACACTTTAGTTTCTGTCTTAGAATTTTTGTTAGGGAACTCAGATAGTTCTTATCAGAGTACTCTTTTTCTATCTTCTTTAATCTTTCCTTGGAATCTCTCCATTTCTTCTTATATTAGGCTACTCATCCACTTCCAAAGTCTCCTTCACCTGTTCTAATTACAACGCTTAGAAAAACCTTTATTAGTTGAAATTTGCTTAGTTTACGTTCATCATCATCAAAACCTTTAAGCTTCAACAAACTTGTGCATGGAGAAGCATTGCATAGAATACAGAGGGATAGAGTTGGGAGTTGATTTTATCAGGGTTAACTTCCATCTTTGGAAAGGTATTTAGTTTTCCATTGAGCAAACCAGTTCTAGACCTTTTGGATCAGAGGAATCAAGGAGGTTTGTTTTGGGGGGGGGTCTTTTGTCACATAGTGAGAATCACGGGTAAATACCTTGGTCATCAGTGGGAATAACATTGAACCGGCTAGCAATCTTCGACCTTATCTCTTGGGCAGTATTCTATGAGAATTTTTTGTTTCTTTAAGAAGGGTTCATTTTTAATCTAGATAGAGCATGGAAGCTATCTAATATATGGGTCATGTGAGAAGCAAGCTTTGTTAAGGAATAATCTTCTCAAAGTAAATATCTTCTATTATTTTGTAAATATTCTCTACCTTTATTCTAGGAATATTAGTCATTAAATTAGTCTATATAATTTAGCCATAATCTACTCCTTAATCTTAGTGATTGATTGATTGTAATCTTGTATAGCCTATTTTAGCCAAAGCCCATACCAATGGTATACTATATATATGTAATCGTTTAATGAGAATAGCATAACTTCCTTCATAATTCTTATATGGTATCAGCCTACTGATCTCCTCCCTCCACTCAATTTTCTTTCTTCTCTAACCAAAATGGTCAACTCAAACTCCTTTCCTTCTTATCAAATTCCCAATGGAAATGACCCTACCAAACCCTTCACTTTTCTCAATATTCAGACCACTATCAAACTCACCCCTGCAAACTACCTTTCCTGGAAAATTCAAATTGAAGCTATACTCGTCGGCCACGATTTGTTTCAATACATTGATGGCTCTCTTCGATGCCCTCCTTCTATTATCACCTCTGCTAGTGGTGAAGAGGAACCCAACCTAGATCATGTCTTTTGGACTCGCCAAGATCGTCTTCTCTTTGGTGCTCTAATCGGCACATTATCACCAAACCTTGTTCCCCTGGTCTCTGAGGCTCGTACCTCCAAGCAGTTGTGGGACATTCTCAAACGCACCTATGCCCTTCCTACTCGTGGCACATCAAACAAGTCAAGGATCAACTCAATCGCATCACCAAGGGTGGTCAACCCATCACTGCATATATGCAATCTCTCAAAACTTGTGCTGATCGTTTAGCCTCATTAGGCAAGAAGCTTGAACACGAGGATTTAATTGATCGAGTCCTCTCCGGCCTTGATGACTCCTACAACTCAGTCATTGAATCGGTGAATGCTAGGGAAATACCCATCTCATTTGAGGAATTGCACGAGAAACTTATCAACAAGGAGCTCTCATTGCAGCAAAGCCGTACTGATCCCTCACTTCCTGCCACTGCCTTTGTAGCGTCAACAAGGCCTCACTTCCGTACCTACGGTAACAACAACAATCGTACTAATACTTCAGGTATTCTTCCAACTCCCAACAATCACACTAAGCAATCTAGACCTTTTCTCGGCAAATGTCAATGGTGCCGTGAACAGGGTCATGTTGTTGCTCATTGCAATTTGTTCAAACGACAGTTTCCTAATGCTACACCACCACCACACAACAACCGTCCAACTCCTATGCCACAAGCTAACACTGCCAACCTTGCTACATCATCCTCTTCCACCTGGATTCTTGATAGCGGTGCTTCCCACCATGTAACAGCAGACTTGAACAATCTCTCTATGCACACTCCATATGATGGGAGTGAAGAACTAGCTGTTGGTGACGATAAAGGCCTAAAAATTACTCACTTTGGTTCTATTATCTTCTCAAATTCTCTAAAACTTAACAATGTTCTTGCTATTCCTGCTATATCCAAAAATATTATTTCCATATCACAATTGTGTCAAGATAATAATATTTCCATCACTTTCTCATCCACTCCTTTTCTTGTGAAGGATCTTACAACGGGGGCATTTCTCTTCCAGGGGCAAATTAAACCTGGCATCTATGAATTCAAACCCACTTCTCCTAAGGTCTACACAAGCACAATTACTAGTTCTCTTGATTGGCATCACCGATTACGACATCCATCCCAATATGCCTTTAGGAAAATTATCTCTAAAAATAAACTAAATGTATCCAGTATTTCTACTCTAGAATGTAATTCTTGTGCTTCTAATAAAAGTCATCGTCTTCCATTCCCTATATCTTCCATTACTTCTTCTGCTCCTCTTGAATATGTTTATACTGACCTATGGACTTCACCAATTTACTCTTATGATGGTTTCAAATACTACATAATTTTTGTGGATCACTATACCAAATACATTTGGCTATATCATCTTAAAAATAAATTCGACGCCAAAAATTACATTCATCCGATATAAGGCTCTTGTTGAAAAGTACTTTCAATTTCCCCTTAAAACTCTCTACTCGGATAATGGTGGTGAATATGAATCCCTTAAAACATTCCTCTCTATTGATGGTATCTCTCATTTAACTACACCTCCTCATACCCCTCGACACAATGGCTATTCTGAACGCCGTCATCGTCATGTTGTTGAAACATTTCTCTCCTTACTAACACACGCCAACATGCCTCTTGAATATTGGACCCATGCTTGTTCCACTGCCACTTATCTAATTAATCGTCTACCAACTCCAACACTAAACAATGAATCACCATATTCTAAATTGTTTGGTGTTCAGCCCAACTATAGTAAACTAAGGAGCTTTGGCTGCCTTTGTTACCCCTTTCTTATACCTTACAATTCTCATAAATTGGAATTAAAATCCAAACCATGTGTCTTTCTTGGGTATTCACCCACACAAAGTGCCTATTATTGTCTAGAACTAAACTCTAATTGTATCTACACTTCTAGGCATGTTCATTTCGTAGAAAACAAATTTCCTTTCTCTGAGAAAAATATTTCTCTTCCTTCACATACATCACTGGTAGAAGAATGGGCACCTCTTACCTTACCCATTCTAACTCCTACACCAAACCCACCCCACTCCTCAAATAACCCCATTCCTACTTCTTCCGCTGCCGAAACATCAGACCACACACCTCCTTCCACTCCCTCCACACATGCATCTCTCACACCTTCTCCTCCCTTGTCACCACAAAATGTTAACCACCATGCACCTTTGTCACCACAAATGGCCACCCGACTTCAACATGGCATTAGGAAACCAATTGACAAATTGAACTTAAATGCATAGGTTGTTGAGGTTGAGGTTCCGAAAAATATTACTCAAGCTCTCAAAAGTCCGGTGTGGAGAAAGGGCCATAGATGCTGAAATTGATGCTCTGATGAAAAATAAAACATGGGATCTTGTTCCCTCTTCTCCTTCACAAAATGTAGTGGGGTGCAAATGGATTTTTCGAATTAAGAAAGATAAAGACGGCAATATCATTCAATACAAGGCTAGGTATGTCGCAAGGAGATTTAATCAATGACCGGGAATCGACTATGGTGAAACATTTAACCCTGTTGTAAAACCCGCAACAGTTCGTCTTATTCTCTCACTTGACGTAAGCCAAAGTTGGCCTCTTCGCCAATTGGACATCAATAATGCTTTTCTCCAAGGCACTTTAACTGATGATGTTTATACCATTCAACCACCGGGTTATAGTGATCCTAATAATCCTACACATGTGTGCAAGCTAAATAAAGCCGTCTACGGGTTAAAACAAGCACCGAGAGCATGGTACAAAGAATTGCGCCAACATTTGATCCACTTGGGATTTAGGAACACTATCTCTTACTCCTCTCTGTTCACTCTCCACAAAAATGGTCAGATCATTTATTTAATTGTCTACGTTGACGATATTATTGTGACAAGAAATAGTTCATCATTCATGGAATCTTTTATTCAACAACTTGCTGCTCGTTTCTCCTTAAAAGACTTAGGTGATCTCTCATACTTTTTAGGAGTTGAAGTCATGCCCCATCCAAATGGCCTTTTCTTAAGTCAAAAGAAGTATATTAATGAAATTTTGAGCAAAGCCAACATGGATGAAGCCAAACCAGTTGCCACACCTATTGTCACGGATCCTCCTTTGTCTATGCATGGAGAGCCACTGCCGGATCCTACACAATACCGCCAGCTCATTGGTAGTCTTCAATATCTTGGACTAACACGTCCTGACGTTGCCTTCACGGTCAATAAGTTAGCCCAATATATGCAAAGACCAACTGAACAACATATGCAAGCATTGCATCGCCTCCTACGGTACCTCAATGGCACATCTAACATGGGTTTAACTCTGCATAAAAACTCTCCTCTTACTATCCATGCTTTCTCCGACTCTGATTGGGCTAGAGATAAGGATGATTATATCTCTACAACAACATATATTTTTTACTTAGGCAAGAACCCAATCTCTTGGTCATCTAGAAAACAACGCTCAAGAGCAAGGTCCTCCACCGAAGCCGAGTATCGTGTCGTGGAAAATGCTACTGCTGAAATCTTATGGGTGCGAAATTTGTTTTAGGAACTTGGTCATAAAGTTATAGCAGCTCCAGTCATCTATTGTGACAATGCCGAAGCCACCTATATAAGTGCAAACCCGGTGTTTCACTCCAAAATGAAACACTTAGCTCTTGATTATCATTTTGTCAGGGAGAATGTTCAAAGTGGTCAGCTTCGCGTTTCTTACATTTCAACAAATGACCAGCTTGCAGATGCTCTTACCAAGCCATTACCAAGACAAACTTTCACTACTTTAACAAGAAAAATCGGGCTCTCATCTTGGCCGCCCGTTTTAAGGGGGCGTGTTAAGGAATAATCTTCTCAAAGTAAATATCTTCTATTATTTTGTAAATATTCTCTACCTTGATTCTAGGAATATTAGTCAGTAAATTAGTCTATATAATTTAGCCATAATCTACTCCTTAATCTTAGTGATTGATTGATTGTAATCTTGTATAGCCTATTTTAGCTAAATCCCATACCAATGGTATACTATATATATGTAATCGTTTAATGAGAATAGCATAACTTCCTTCATAATTCTTATAAGCTTCACCAAATAAAAACATGTCATCTGCAAAGAAAAGGGGGCTTGCCCAGTTGATCTTCATGATTAACATATTTTGTTAATCTAGTGCTTACTCATACTAGCCAGCTCATACTTGTGCTTCGTTGGCCGCTTAATCACCAAGAACGCAAGCCTAGATCCTATCTCCGTTTACTAACGGT